ATTGGCATAGGGGTCCATCCGAAGACGATAGCTTCGTCATAAATGATCGGATTCCCAAGCGGGGTACCTTAAAAGAATTGTGGATCGATTCTCCATCGATCTGCATCAAAACCTGAATACAAATTTTCAAATCAATTTTTTGTCCATTTTTCCTATGGGGCTCCCTTCAAAAATGAGGATATTGGTATAGGGGTCCATCCGAAGACAATAGCTTCGTCAAAAATGATCGGATTCCCAAGCGGGGTACCTTAAAAGAATTGTGGATCGATTCTCCATCGATCTGCATCAAAACCTGAATACAAATTTTCAAATCAATTTTTTGTCCATTTTTCCTATGGGGCTCCCTTCAAAAATGAGGATATTGGTATAGGAGTCCATCCGAAGACGATAGCTTCGTCAAAAATGATCGGATTCCCAAGCGGGGTACCAATTTTTTGTCCATTTTTCCTATGGGGCTCCCTTTAAAAATTAGGATATTGGTATAGGGGTCCATCCGAAGACGATAGCTTCGTCAAAAATGATCGGATTCCCAAGCGGGGTACCTTAAAAGAATTGTGGATCGATTCTCCATCAATCTGCATCAAAACCTGAATACAAATTTTCAAATCAATTTTTGTCCATTTTTCCTATGGGGCTCCCTTTAAAAATTAGGATATTGGTATAGGGGTCCATCCGAAGACGATAGCTTCGTCAAAAATGATCGGATTCCCAAGCGGGGTACCTTAAAAGAATTGTGGAGCGATTCTCCATCGACCTGCATCAAAACCTGAATACAAATTTTCAAATTAATTTTTGGTCCATTTTTCCTATGGGGCTCCCTTTAAAAATCAGGATATTGGTATAGGGGTCCATCCGAAGACGATAGCTTCGTCAAAAATGATCGGATTCCCAAGCGGGGTACCTTAAAAGAATTGTGGAGCGATTCTCCATCGATCTGCATCAAAACCTGAATACAAATTTTCAAATCAATTTTTTGTCCATTTTTCCTATGGGGCTCCCTTCAAAAATGAGGATATTGGTATAGGGGTCCATCCGAAGACAATAGCTTCGTCAAAAATGATCGGATTCCCAAGCGGGGTACCTTAAAAGAATTGTGGAGCGATTCTCCATCGATCTGCATCAAAACCTGAATACAAATTTTCAAATCAATTTTTTGTCCATTTTTCCTATGGGGCTCCCTTCAAAAATGAGGATATTGGCATAGGGGTCCATCCGAAGACGATAGCTTCGTCAAAAATGATCGGATTCCCAAGCGGGGTACCTTAAAAGAATTGTGGATCGATTCTCCATCGATCTGCATCAAAACCTGAATACAAATTTTCAAATCAATTTTTTGTCCATTTTTCCTATGGGGCTCCCTTCAAAAATGAGGATATTGGTATAGGAGTCCATCCGAAGACGATAGCTTCGTCAAAAATGATCGGATTCCCAAGCGGGGTACCTTAAAAGAATTGTGGATCGATTCTCCATCGATCTGCATCAAAACCTGAATACAAATTTTCAAATCAATTTTTTGTCCATTTTTCCTATGGGGCTCCCTTTAAAAATTAGGATATTGGTATAGGGGTCCATCCGAAGACGATAGCTTCGTCAAAAATGATCGGATTCCCAAGCGGGGTACCTTAAAAGAATTGTGGATCGATTCTCCATCGATCTGCATCAAAACCTGAATACAAATTTTCAAATCAATTTTTTGTCCATTTTTCCTATGGGGCTCCCTTTAAAAATTAGGATATTGGTATAGGGGTCCATCCGAAGACGATAGCTTCGTCAAAAATGATCGGATTCCCAAGCGGGGTACCTTAAAAGAATTGTGGATCGATTCTCCATCAATCTGCATCAAAACCTGAATACAAATTTTCAAATCAATTTTTTGTCCATTTTTCCTATGGGGCTCCCTTTAAAAATTAGGATATTGGTATAGGGGTCCATCCGAAGACGATAGCTTCGTCAAAAATGATCGGATTCCCAAGCGGGGTACCTTAAAAGAATTGTGGAGCGATTCTCCATCGACCTGCATCAAAACCTGAATACAAATTTTCAAATCAATTTTTTGTCCATTTTTCCTATGGGGCTCCCTTCAAAAATGAGGATATTGGTATAGGGGTCCATCCGAAGACAATAGCTTCGTCAAAAATGATCGGATTCCCAAGCGGGGTACCTTAAAAGAATTGTGGAGCGATTCTCCATCGATCTGCATCAAAACCTGAATACAAATTTTCAAATCAATTTTTTGTCAATTTTTCCTATGGCTCCCTTCAAAAATGAGGATATTGGTATAGGGGTCCATCCGAAGACGATAGCTTCGTCAAAAATGATCGGATTCCCAAGCGGAGCACCTTAAAAGAATTGTGGATCGATTCTCCGTCGATCTTCGACGATCCGTGCCCCCTTAGGAAAAAGTGAGGGTAGGGCTATAGGGATTCGATCGAGGACCATATTTTCCTTAGTGAAATATCTTATTCTGTATGAAATGGATAATGGATATGAAGTTTCGAACGGGGTGATGGTAGGTGCTGGAATTTCCAATTTTTGAAAAGGTTTCGCTTGATGGTGGCATTTAAAATGCAATTGTGTTCGATTAACGAGTGGCAGGGAAAGTTGTGAAACCTTATTTGTAAATTACACCGTGAGAGCTCGTCTGATTTCATTAATGTGGTCATATTTATTGAGGGAATTCGTTGTGTTGGCTTTATTTAAATGCCTTAAAAGTCAGGAGTACTCAGGCTATCGGGTTTCCTTTGCGGCGTTTTCTGCTCGCTGTTGCAGGTTCCTCATGTTTCATTTATCACTGGACATCGATTATCGTATTTCGCGTACACTTTTTATTTGCGTATTAAGTTTATTTATGGCGCATATTTTGCCACCTTTTTTGTGACCGAAACGAAACCATTTTGAAAATCATACTTAACAAGCAGGATTGGTGGCTGCTTGTTCATTGGGCGAGTGTTTAATTGGTTTAAATTACACACTCACACACAGGACTCGCACAGACAGGACTCTCGCACACAGGACCCCACACTCGCACTCCACAGAGAAAAGGCCATGTGAAAATAAAAATTAAATTCCAATAGCGAACGCGAGAAATACACATTTTTAATTGTTTACTTTTCACTGATTACACGTTTAATAATAAAAATAAATAAAATTCATTGAAGCCCCGCCACACCCGGCCATGTCCATTTATTTTATTTTATTGTTAAATCATTTTGCATTGTTTTGTGTGTCTATTTGCGAAAGGCAGTATTTTTGTTACTTAATTATTGTTTGTCTGACCCCGCCCCTGCCGCCCACTAGGTCCACGCGGGTGTTTTGGGTGTGATCTCTGCAGTCCTGCAGTGCTGTAGTCCTGCTTAATGAATGGACAAATATTAAATAACGATTTAAGCCTCCTTTACATAACATTGAACAAAATATGGTTTTGTAGTTCGGCCTGCCTCTCTGATGATATTTCATCGAATGCCGGAGCTTGTCAAGTTGCATACTTTGGGGCTTAAATGTTAAATATGTACTAATAACAGGGAAGAGAAAGTGGCAGTTATTCTAGCCGAAGTATTGATGCTCTCAAAGTCGTAGGAGTCTGGGACTTAACCTGTAGGTGTGTGGGTTTCCGATATTTCTTCCCGAGGAAGGCCTTCCACTCGTCCACTACATCAAATCATAACAAACACCGCCGGGGCTTTAATTGAATATAATATTTTGTGCCAACCAAATAAAACCGCACGCTGTGACCCTCGGCCAGTCAGTCATTCGAATTGTTAGCCCATTAGCCGGCCCAACCCAAAACCGAAAACCGAAAACCGAAAACCCAAACCCCAAATCCGAAAGCCGAAAACCCAAAAAGCCATAACCAAAAAGCAGTGCAAATCCCAGGCCAAATCCCTCAGCTGAGTCGGATCAGAGCGAGAAATACAGAAAAATAGGTGGGGATAACACGTCGATGTCGCCAGCGAATTAAATCTAACAAAGACGACTATCTGCGAGCTTCGACCTCCGACTCCCCGGCTCTGCTTCTCTGACATAAATTGATAAAGCCCCCCGACCAGTCCATCCACGACCGAGTAAACATTTGAGGACCGAAAACGAATGCAAACTCACCCGGAGTGTTTATTTATTGAAACCAATTTTTACACAAATTAATAGAGCAAAGGCCAGGCCAGTTTGCTTTGTCAATTTGCGATTTTATTTCGCTCTGTGTGTTTATGTCGGGGACTTATCCTCCAAAGCCGAAAAAACGATGCGAAATTATTGAAAAAAAACTACCGCTGACTGCCTTAATGGCAATATGCGTCTATATAATGCCCGATGCGTTGGCCTGATTGTATAATTGCTCGGCCAATTCCCGATAGTGATGACATCACACCCGTCATATACCCACGTAAACCACAATAAACTCAAAAACATTCAGGCTCTCGGAGCAAAACACTTACAACAATCACAAACACTCAAGTCGAATATAAAGCCCGGGTTTTACGGCAATGGAGGCAATTTCAGGCGGGCCGACTTAATTGCCGATTTTCGGAGATAACAACAATGTATTCATATTTTAAAGTACGTCTTTAAAAGCTGTCTTCAAACTTGCTTCCTGATGGGAATCGTTTTTGGTAATTAGGAGAGATCTTTGGGAATCATTCGATTGTTATTAATTACTTGTTTATGATCAGACTTTCGAGGAGAATCTAGGGAAAGGGTTCTGCCTTGAGTGTTTGGTTTCTTCGAGTGCTTCGAACCTATTCACGATTCAGTGAACGTCGCTATCTGATGATCGTTATTAAAATATTTCCACTTCCCAAGTCGGCCCCCGAGTCGGAGATTCGGTGGCCCGGACTGGACTGTTTTGTTTTCAACACACATATTCAGATTATGTTTGTTTTTGGTTTTGTTTGCCCTGCCCCTCGCCCACCCCGTCCCCCCCCACACGGCCCCAGTGCGACGTTCCAAATTCATTTTTCATTTTAAAGCTCTCTCAAGCCCATATAGTAAGTCTCGCTCAGATTCCGCACTGTTCGTATTCTCAACAAGTTCACTTTAAGTTTGGCTCACAGCCTCGGTTCAGTTTCAGTTTTTCGCTTAATGCGAGCACAACAAGTCAGTGGTGAACCTGCACATATACCTTCTTTTCCATATATTCTATCCCAAGTTGTATATATTTTTTTTTTGTGAAAATTTAAAGCCACTTTTATTGCCCGAAACAGACCTTTCGCAAAGCAGATTTTTTATTGTTTTTTTTTTCTGTGTGTGTTTAAGATCTCTCATGACTTTTGGTCAAAATTAAAATTCCTCTAAAATCTTCTTTTCTTATACTTTCAAACCCAACTTAAAGCCTTACTTTAACGATTATGTAACCCCATTCTGTTATCCCCCCTTCGCATTACCGTTTCCTTATCGCTAATTCTGGGCTTATCTCTGAATCCCCTTTGCAGGCCCGATGAAGTTCTTCGCCCTGCTGTCCCTCCTGCTGGGATCTCTGGCCATCGGCCAGATCTCCGCCGCCAACACCCATCACCTGCTCTGCTACTACGACGGCAGCAGCTTCATCCGCGAGGGTAAGTCCCCCCGAACTCATATATTAACTGTATTTAGATTAAGCTCGGGGTTATCGCAGGGGTGCACGTACCCATATATAGAAAAAGTATAGAAAGTCGGCCAAGCAATTCAATTAGATGATTTTCACTTTTCATAGGCCCATGCTAAAAGCATAAAATTGTGGGACGTTTTGTGCCCGGCTGATAATTGGGTCTCCCGATGGGTCACAAGATCAAGGCAGAAGTGGTGTAACCACTTGGCGAATTGCACTGGAAGGGGGAAAAACCCACTCATACCCCGGCATTGGGTGTTCGATTAGTTTCACTGACAGCCGACTGGGTGGGTGACTCATTGTAGAATTCTAGAGAGCTGGCACCTCAAGGCGTTAATTGAATGGGCCAACAGGTAGCCAGTGTGTACTATCTAAGCCCAATCTAATGGCGTCTTACGACCAACAGGTCTCTCCAAGCTGATCCTCTCCGACCTGGAGCCCGCCCTGCAGTACTGCACCCACCTGATCTATGGATACGCCGGCATCAACCCCTCCAGCAACAAGCTGGTGAGCAACAACGAGAAGCTCGACCTCGACCTGGGCAGCAGCCTGTTCCGCCAGGTGACCTCCCTGAAGCGCAAGTACCCCGCCCTGAAGGTCCTGCTGAGTGTGGGCGGCGACAAGGACGTGGTGGACCCCGAGAACAACAAGTACCTCACCCTGCTCGAGAGCAGCAACGCCAGGATCCCCTTCATCAACAGCGCCCACTCCCTGATCAAGACCTACGGCTTCGACGGCCTCGACCTCGCCTGGCAGTTCCCCAAGAACAAGGCCAAGAAGGTGCACGGTAGCATCGGAAAGTTCTGGAAGGGATTCAAGAAGATCTTTACCGGCGACTACATCGTCGACGAGAAGTCCGAGGAGCACAAGGAGGAGTTCACTGCCCTGGTGCGCGAACTGAAGAACGCCTTCCGGCCCGATGGCTACCTTCTGGGACTCAGTGTCCTGCCCAACGTGAACTCGTCGCGTAAGTCCTTCTTCAGGGATAGCTTTGTACCATTGCTTATTGTTCTGTTTATTTTCGTTTTAGTCTTCTTTGATGTGCCAGCCCTGATCAACAACCTGGACTACGTAAACTTGCACGCCTACGACTTCCAGACCCCTGAGAGGAACAACGAGGTGGCTGACTTCCCGGCCCCGATCTACGAGCTGAACGAGAGGAACCCCGAGGCGAACGTGAACTACCAGGTCAAGTACTGGACCCAGAACCGGGCCCCGGCCTCCAAGATCAACGTCGGCTTGGCCACCTACGGACGCGCCTGGAAGCTCACCAAGGACTCCGGCCTGACTGGACTGCCTCCAGTAGCCGAGGCCGACGGCGTGGCCCCCGCTGGTACCCAGACCCAGGTTCCCGGCCTCCTTAGCTGGCCGGAGGTGTGCGCCAAGCTGCCCAACCCCGCCAACCAGCACCTCAAGGGCGCCGACGGCCCGCTCCGCAAGGTGGGTGACCCCACCCGGCGCTTCGGCAGCTACGCCTACCGCTCCGCCGACGACAGCGGCGAGAACGGCGTCTGGGTGGGCTACGAGGACCCCGACACGGCGGCCATCAAGGCGGAGTACGTGAAGCGGGAGGGTCTGGGCGGCATCGCCGTCGTCGACCTGAGCTTCGACGACTTCCGCGGCGGCTGCACCGGCGGCGACAAGTTCCCCATCCTGCGCAAGATCAAGGGCAGTCTGTAGACGAGGAATCCCCATCTAACCTATTTGTTTTTTTTGTAACTGTAATTGACACCAAACTTTGTAATCCTTGAAATGCATCATGACGAAAGATAGTGCTTTCTTTAACTCCTATACTTAGGGGGAAGGGGCTTAAAGAGAACTTATTGAACACGAGCCTTCCACGGCCGCTGCTTAGGCAGTTCACATCCGATCTCCGAGCGATGGGAGGGCTGGTCCACATTGCATTGTGGCCATTGGCTCATCCATCTTCGGTGGGTGGCTGCCATGCTGTGACCACTTGAACCATTCCCGCTGACATACACCCACTTCCCAGCACCAGGATCACTTTATCATTTGCAAAATTGCAAAATGCAACCGCAAAAACCATAACTCGGGCGCTGGCAAAGTATATTGTAGAGTCATAGTCCCGCACCGAGCATCACGCATACGCAATGCCTGCTCACCGGACCAGGACCCAGAACAGGAAGTGCCAAGTTCCCGGCACCCACCACCCCTTGCCACAATCCCCGCGCCCGGCCAGAAGGGGATGGGAGGATGCACTCGGTTTTGTGAGAAGCGCATTGGATTTTCAAAGCCCACAAAGCGAAAAAATACAGAGAAAATTCTTCAATAGCTTTCGTTGGTTATTTGGGAAGGTTCTTCGACGATTTTGCCCCGATCTTCCCACTACTGCTTGCCGCTTATTCATCTGCTGATTTTTCAAAGGAAAGTCTGGCCTTTTGGCTTTTTTCTCAGTGCTCTTCCTGCCTGCTGTTTGGGCATATCACTGGCAGCATAAATCTCGTGTCGGCACTATGCCTGAAATCCACTCTTGCCGCTTTCGGCCCCGTCCCGGGCAGACCCTGGTTTCGGGCTGGGACTCCTTTTGCACACATGCAATTAGTCAACCACAAAATAGCAAGTTGCCATGTAAAGTGCCACGCCCAGACTGCGACTGCCGCCCAGATAGGGTAGACTCGGCCAAACACCAGCGGAGATAATACATAATTGCTGTAAAAATGGTGAAAAAAGTACTTAAAGCCAGGAAACAATGGCCGAATCGAACTTTACATTTCTCTGGCGACAGCTTAGACTCGGAGGCATGAGATGTTAACAATTATCGAAGCAATTTGCCGAAAAACAGGCCGTTTCATTCATCGAGGGGCCTTTTTGAGGCGCTCTCTGTAATTCTGGCACGCACTCCCATTCGAACGACCGGAATGAAGTTCATAACAATTACTTGGCCCATAAACGGGAACGGAAGATACATTCGAATCTGAAGGATACATTTGGCAATTGCTGCAAATGACGCTCCATATCTATCTGGACGTTCTGGGGCGCTGAATCAGCTTCCCTAAGCCCCAGACCCGAAAAGGTAAGAGGGCATTCTGTGTCCTGCTGTGTTCTGTATTCTGTATCCTGTATCCTCTATACTGTATCCAGAAGCTTGAATTTTATGTCCAAGACACGTGCAAAATGCAGGACTAGAGCCGTCCATTCCAACTGGGAGCTGGGAGCTGGGATCTGGTAGCTGGTAGCTGGGAATGAGTGTGATTATGGGTATGGATGTTCGATTGTGAGTACTGTAAGTGCGTGTCGGATTCCGATGCCGAGCATATGCAAATCGTTGACAATCATTCCGAATGGCCATTCACAGCCTTTTCTTTGCGTTCGTCAGATGAGCTTTAGAATGAATGTAAGGACATTCATTGAATGGCTTTTTTGGGCGATACACTCGGCCCCCGCCATTCAATTAATTCGCAAAACTGTGCCATCTAGTCCTGGTGCCTTCAGATGCATTCGCAGTGCACGTCACAGCTCCTCGCCTCGGCCGCCTGAATTATTCACAGTCAGCTTTATCGGGCTGGGTCTGTGGAGAGCGTTTTGTCCTGCGGTTCCTTGGCCAGACACCCGCCCTCTGTCCTCTGCCCTCTGCCCTTCGCCCCCCGGAGAGTGTAACATTTCGCACATGCCACAGCCTGCGGGAAAAGCTGGGAAGCCCGCGACCGACGAGCTAAAATTATGCTGCGTGAAAAAGTTTTTGGCTCAACTCAAAAATGGGCGACACCTCACGTACACGGTGTCTGTTTGGCTGTCTGTGTCCGTATCTGTGTGCCCCGGCAGTGCATGTGTGTGTGAGGACACGTTCGGTGTGTTGGCCATGTTTACGACTCCTTGGGGCCCACTTGATCAGAAGGAGTTGCCTGGGAGTTGTTCCCGCATTTGTCCAAGCTATCTAAGTTGGCTTTTCCGTTTCCATTTCGTTTCTGGCTGACAAGACACATTTGGAGCTCCATCCCATCCCCTCCGTCCCTATTCCTGGCCCAAGTCCTTTGACTCCGAGTTGGACTCTGACTCGCACTAGGACTGGCCTTCTCTAACCACTTAATTAATTAAAAAGCGACTTCATCTCGAATCAATAGTCTGGGACGGGCGGCAAAGTCCATAACCTTTGCAGAAAGGTGCGCTTATCGCCGCTCACAAATCATTCGCAGCCATAATGGAAATGTCCCCGAGACACTTAATACATATATTCAGCATATATCTGCGTATGTCCATTATGGCGGGAGGAGCCATGTTAATTAGGAAGGCTCCTTCGGCCCCGTGGAGAACTCTTTTTATCAAATTCATTAATCAGCGAGCCACAAAATGAAATTCAAGTTCGGGGCTCGGACCTCCGGGTCGGAACAAAGCAGGGCCCACGCCCAGGAATGTTCCGGGGGATGTTCCAAGGAAGCAAGCCCCCCAATTGACCAAAGAGATTTGCTTCTAAGCCAAACAAAAACCGGAAAGAAATGAAGCCGAAGGAAACCAATCTCCAACTTGTGGAATACCCTCTACTCCTACTTTCAAAGGGTTATTCTCTTTAAGAAGATAGAGCCCGTCCTGATCCTATCCTGTTTCTATTTTTACAAACTTTAAGAGCCAATAACTTCGGGGAGGAGCCGTAGAACTCCAGGGTATTGAAGGAATTCAGTAAATTCACCGTCTGCGTAAATCATTAAAAGCAGAACAACAGAAGAGCAGAGGAAAGTATGCCAGCAAAGAGTGGCGGACGACCAAAGTTCGAAGTTCAAGTGGTGGGCGTTTTCCTGAGTGTGGGGGCTGTGGGTGGGCGTGGCCCAATAGGCTTAGCTCTGACGTTAGATCAAAGCCCTCGGAATTATGATAGTACAATATGAAAGAGGCAACCGCAACAATTCCGCGTCCACGTCCATGGCCGCGTCTGTGTCTGGGTCTGGGTCTGCAACTCTGTGCGGCATTGAAATTATTTATCGCTCCTCGCTGGCAATTGTCGGGCCGTGTAGTTTATGATTTCGGGTCCTGCCACGCCTTCTGATGTCGAAAGTGGAGTCTGTGGTGGGGGAGGTAACCACCCATCTCATCAGCAGCCGGCGAAATTGTTTGTCAGGCCCCTCGCCCAGTTCTCCGCCTTTGTATCCAAATGCCTCGGAAAATAAATCAAAACTGGGCCGACGGTCGGGGAGGGGGCTACACTGTGTTATGGCCATGAATGCTACTCCTCCTGTCTCCCGTCTCTAATGGAAGGGGTTGGAGGCGGCTCGGGACGGAGGAAATTGATGAAGAAGCAACACACAGAACACCAAACTATGAGATGGCCATGAAAACTATGAAAATCTGGCAGGAATCTGAAGGCAGAAACTTGGACTCGAGACTAAAGTTGGCCGAGGCCGATGCCGGAATGTATGGAATATTTAAGAAATCATGAACCAGCATAGAGTTTCTCCAACTCTGCCATCCAATCTGGACCGCAACTGTCGCGCTTTCGTTTTGGACAGAGATACCAACTCGAACTGCCCCCCCCTCCCACTCATTCCACACACGCTCCCCCGCCCCCTTTCCAACTGTTTGTTAATTTGGCTTTAAGCTCATGTACGGTCAATGTTTGGCCAACACCTTGTAATATCCGTTTAAGCTGCCCGCCACCGACTGACTGACACTTGGACATTTTCACCAGGACAGGGCCAATTTAGCTACAGTTCATTTGAGTTGGCCAGGAGCGTAGAAGGGGAAGGTAGAGGGGACAGGGAGGGCGACAGGAGGCAAGAGTCGGAGCAGTCAGTGCTCTAAACATGACTTATGACCAGTACGTGATGCAACATAAAAATGCCATTACTTTGTGCGTGTTTCGGTGCTGCTCTGTTGAGCTTTCCTCCCCTCCTGCTTCCGTTGCCGCCCCCGCATCCCCGACGCCCCTGTATCTCTCCGTCTCGCTTGCACTCACCCCACCGTCTCAGTAGCAGTCTCCCGTCTCAGTCTCAGTCTCGTCCAACATGACGTATGAGTATTGCACGTTTGCTGAGCCATTCAGGCGACTGCCACTGACAGGAGACGTTCTGCCAGATCGTCCTGCCCCTCGGCCCCCTCCCACAGCTTCTCGAAGCAATTTCTCATCTGTTGTTTACCTATGTACCTCCCTCCCGGCACGGTGCCTCGAAGGACCTCGTGTCCTCCCTCCCTCCCGTCGAATGCCACGCATTGTTTGCTTTATTAGTGAATTTAATATGAAGTCTATTGTTAATAGAAAAGCAGTGACTGCAACCGGAGCGGCGGAGGGACGACGACAAGAGGTCTACGGTCTACCCATGGATGTGCCTCATCCTCGCCGAGTCCCTGGAATGCCCACACTCTCTCCCTCTGTAAGTTAGATGGACAGATACCCCGCCCGCCGCCATCGTATCACTCGCGTTTCATTAAAAAAGTTCGCTTTTCCTGAACGGTTCGATTTGGCAAACTTGAAGGATCGATAGGTGAAAATTACGCAACACCCGAGGGCAGGAGGGGGGCGAGGCGAGGGAGGAGGAACCGGAAACAGGAATAGCCCGGCTTGAGGAGCGAAAAGTTTGTTTTATTTTGGGAAATGGGAAAAGGGATTGAATGAAGAACCAACTTGTTATGGCTGTGAATGGTTTTTTTTCGCAGAAAACGTTTAGTTTCTGTTGTCTAGACAAGAGCGAGAAGTGTCTGATGGATAGAGGAGCCCAGGGTATTGTGCCGCTTAAGCCCAGTTAGCCGACCCGGCTAACCCCTGGAACAGCCCTCGCTGGGGCAGCGTGTTGTTTACCTGGAAACTTTGACGTCGTGGCGGAGT